AAGCTTTTAGAACATCTTTAGAGTGTTTTATTTAGTTTCAGTTTATTAGAAGTGTCTTGCTTTGATATGTAACATAGGGTTGGAAACGCTATATTTTGGGAATAATATTACATTTTATTAACTTGTTTTTATGAGATTATTTGAAGTTAAAGCGGTTTTAATTATACCTTTTGATGAGTTTATAACACTTGATTTTATAAAAGATGAACAAAGTTTACTTTATAACTACGATGTCTGCTGCGAAGTTCTCATTGATATGTTATTGTTATAAAATAGAATGATGTTATAAATGTTGTAACTCGTGTTACGGAGCAAGAATATTATTATGATGTTTTCTATGAAGTGTGACATTTTTGAGTGGTGATTTTATTTGATTTAATTCGTAAATTATATAAATAATACATGTGGAGTTAGAATGGTGTTACATATATCATGTATGTGTATACTACAATCAAGAACACTTCTACTATCTCACTAAAAAAATATTTTTTTATATATTTTTATGGTTGGAACTAGGGGTGGCAAAACAGGCTCGGCCCGTCGGGAAAGCCTGTTTTGCCCGCACTTTTTTACGGAACGGATCAAGCTTTTAAGCCCTCACCCTTTAATGTGTCTGCCTCGTCCCGCTCTATTTTTTGCAGGCTTGCACTTTTTCTTAAAATTTTACAATTCTTAGACCTAAAAGGTTTAATGCACATGAGTCTTCCCTGTCTCGCATTCACTTTTTTGCAAGGCGGGCTAAGGTTTTAGGCACGCATCCCCCAAATATATTCGTCCCGGTCTGTTTTCTTACAAGCTATTACGGGGCAGGCCTAAACGGGACGGGGATGCCTGTTTTTCACCCCTAGTTAGAACTATCACACACCTTTCATCATTCTCATCCATCATTTGGGTTTCAAATGTTTCTAGAAGTATATTTTCGGGTTTATTTCAGAAGTATATTTTCAAACTTTTGTTTTATGAAACAAATGTGTGTTTCATTTACGTATGAGTTTAGTCTAAATGAGTATAAAGTGAATCTTGAATCTGTAAATGCATCTCTAAAATAAATTTTAAGAAAAAAAATGGGGTGAGTTTCATTTAAAACGTGTTTTGATGTGAAAAAGGTGTGTACAAAAATGTATTTCCAAAATTTAAAAGGCATTTTCGAATTTTCATAGGGTAATTTTTCACCCTATAAGATAGGATAAGAATTTTTCTAAATAAAATCCTTTAATTTATACAATTTTGTTATATATAAAATTTAATCATTATGCATGGAGTAATAAATTTTATAGAGTTAACATATTGCAATTATTATTATTATTATTATTATTATTATTATTATTATTATTATTATTATTATTATTATTATTATTATTATTATTATTATTATTATTATTATTATTATTATTAAAAATTATATATAATCATTTACATTGATGTTGTATATTAATTAAATTCTCTCAAATATATATTCTCATTGTTTTCATTTCTATTTCCAAACTTTTTATTTCAACTAATCCGATGATTATTATTTGTTCATCATTATTTACTTAATGTGAATAATAAAATTTGTTTTAAACATAGTAATATTAATTTTCAACTAACTTTCATATTACATATTTATAAAAAATTTAAATGATAGGTATATGAATCATCTCACTTATAAAGTGTTTAACCTTCACTTTTTCAAATAATGTGTTAAAACTCACTTGTTTCTCAACACAACTCACATTTTTTTCTCAATAATCTCCCCCTCAAGTGAAAGTTTTTTCATCCTTGTATTGTCGTTGACAGACACCCTTTATTCGTCATGAATACTACAACGGGATATGCCAACTGACCACCACCGTGTCAGGAAAACTTTTGATACAAGAAGCCTTAAAATTTTTGGCGAATATGCGATGTCTCTCTCACTTGTTTGGATGAGTCTTTGATCTTTAGATAATTTTTTGATCCAATATGAATGTTTCTTCTTCATGATGCCCAATAATCAATATATATATATATATATATATATATATATATATATATATATATATATATATATATATATATATATATATATATATATATATATATATATATATATATATATATATATATATATTCCTTCAAAGAAAATATTTGATAACCACCTTGATGTTGGCTGGGAGAGACCTTTTGTTGGATATTTATGTGCTTATGTGTTTCTCTGTAAAATTGTGGATCCCTTTTTCCTATGATGAGGTCTCTCTTTTATAGTCTTCCTTGTGAGACAAGGATAGTTTATGTCATAAAGCCATATTCGTGGCTATTGATGTGGCAATTATCACATAGAAGACATGTTCGAACATCCTCCTAAATATCCATAAATGTATGTCTGAGTGTCAGTTACTTTGTGAGCTAACTCTGTTGGCCGACTTGATTGTACCTTTGTGGGCTAGTTCTACTGGCCGACTTGGTTGTACCTTCGTGGGATAGCTCTAATGGTTGACTTGGTTGTATCTCCGTTGACTAGCTCTGATGACCTAGTTGATTGTACCTTCGTGGGCTAGCTTTGGTGGCCGACTTAGTTGTAACTTCGTGGGCTAACTCTGTTGACCGAGGCCAACATCTCGGATAGTAATTTTCTCGGGATGTACTTAAGTCTCCCAAGCACAAAGCTTGTAAGGGTGTAGTGTTGATTATTTAGACCTTTTATCCGAGATCAACATTTGGATAGAAATTTTTTCGGGATGTACATAAGCCCCCGAGCACGAAACTTGTAAAGGTGAAGTGTTTGGTTGTTTAGAATTTTGATATGGTCCAAAGTTTTCATCTAATTTGGTATGTATATAAAAAAATCAGGGACATTGTGGCATGACAGACGTTTAGAGTATGCATGGCAACAAACCTCAAACCCACGGGCATCCACCCAAATTCGCTCCGAAATTGACGGGGGAAACCCATTTTGATTGGGTTTGGGTTTTCCCCGATTACAAAATATGAGGACGGATCGGGTAATAGGAACACTAGTTTCCACTCCAAATACGTCCTGTTTATTTTATTATATATACTATTATTTATTTTTTATAATTTAGAATATTAAATATGTGGCAAATGTTTTGATAATTTGATTTGTAATTATTATTTAAAATATTTGAAATGTATGTATGAAATTTTTTGAGATTGTTTTATTTTATTAGTTGTAATGTAACTTGATTTTGGAAAAAATAAATATTTCTATTAAAAAAATTGATTTTACTAAATGGATGGTGGTGGGGCGGGGATACCCGAATCCGTTTGGGACGGATTTGAGTTTTAATTCTTAATCCTTGTTTGGGTTTGGGGTGGAGAACGAGAATTGTTTGAGAATTCGAGTTTAGGATTGGGGAAGCTAAAAACCGTCCCTGAACTGCTCTCTTGTCATGCCTAGTTTAGAGTCCACTTGATTGACGTGAAATCTATGTCTGTTTGAGGTTGACCGATCTTCAAAGCCCCTTGAAAATTAACATAAAATCAGTTTAGTGTCCGCTTAAGATTGACCAACGTTCAAAGCCTCTTGGAGATTGACTTAAAATTGTTTCAAAACCCATTTAAGATTCACTGATGGTCAGAGCCTCATGGAAGTTAACGTTAAAGAAGATCCAATAATTTACTAAACATGACCCCTTAAAAAATATGTATAGATTAAATTTATAAAAAAAATATAAATAAAAATATATATTTAAATGCAAAATTAATTAATTAATAATTTAACTGATATGTGTTAATTAAGTTAAACAAATATTAAATTTTGATCTATTATTCATTCTCTATAGCAATATTTATTTATATTTATTGTTAATATCAATAATAATGATTTTACAATTAGTTTTGCCATAAAAAAATATTTGCGGTTAAATTTTTGTTAGTTCTATTCCTTTATAATCCTTATTATTTCTATATTAAAAAGTAATATTGATCTGCCCTCAAAATTTAAACCAATAACCTTTGAACACATATGTATCTATATTTTTACTGGAAAAAAAGTAACACATATGTGTCACTTAGAAGCTACGTAATCCTCAATTCAACCATGTCAAAAGCACCAATACTATCCTCCTGGTCCTACCTTAATCGGTATACATCATCACAAACTTACTCTTACTTTATAATTATTAATTTATTATTAGTAACACTTTTTATGCTGTTACGACAACCTGAATTTAATTTAAAAATTCCACTTCCCTTCTTCGTCAAGGTGTAACAATCCTTTTTATTTTACACGCATGTCATAAACTAAAATGACGCTTTTACTTCAAGAATAATGGGACCAACTTCATTACTTCATTTTGTCATGATTTTACAATTTAGTATTTTATAGAAAATTCGAAAAAGTGTTGGTGTAGCCATCATCAATTATATAAGCTACAAAGAAAATAATGTATGATCTAAGCAATAAAAATTGAGAAAAAGACCCCTCATCATCAAGACAAAACTTAAGACCTGTCATATACCATATTGTGAAACCATATGCTTATTTTTTTTTTCCTCAAATTAATCTATCTAATATCATGGTTGTTATATGTCCAAAAATTATGTTAAAAACAAAGTTCAAACAATTTCTGAGTTTGTCTTAAATTTTTAGACTCTGTATAAATTATTTACAGTTTAATCATGACAAAATAATTATAAATCTTATTTAATTATTTTTTAACACTGACAGATATTTTACGAAGTTCTATTTAATTACATATAATTTAATTGTGATAAATTTTAGATTATGTGTATTAGTCTGTCTGGCACGTCCTGAAATACGCCCTTGGTATTCACCTTATACAAAGTTGTTAGTTTCTTCTTGTTGGCCTATCTATTCATCAAAAACACCAACTTTTGATCTCTCTAACCAACCATTATCATAAAAAAGAACAAACTCATTTAAGAAAAACTATGACAGAAAGAGAAACATCAACACCTCTTCATATTCACACTCAAATCCTTTCTATACATACATGAGTATTATATTCTATAGTTTGAACGGAGAAGCAACTTGGTTCAAGATTCATTACTTCAATATGGAAGTTTCATGCAAGATTTTGAGAAGATCAGTTCATTGTTTTCTTCAAAACTATCATTATTTCACTTCATCAATAGCTTTTCTTGTCTTTCCTTTCTCGGTTTCGATACTCTTGTCACAAGCTTTCGTTCCTTCTCCTTCGTCTCTTTTGCCTCAAATTTATAACCGTTTGAGGATGCTCTTTGATGCTGCAGGTTTTCCTTCATCTTCGCTATTGTTCAATATTCTTAATCTTAAGGTTTCTCAAACAATCACTTGCTCAGTCTTTTCTCTTCCTTTCACACTCACTTTTCTTCTTGTCGCAAAAGCATCAATAATTCAAGCTCTTAAACTCAATCATAATAAATCAGGTTTGTCTCCTTCGCTCGCGTCAATCGTAGCACTTTACAAGCCGCTTTTGCATACATATATCTGCAACTGTTTCTTGATTCTCTCAGCAAATGCATCTTCTTTCTGTCTCATGTTTCTGGCTTTCAATTTAGTTGAAACACTTGGATACTCGTCGCCTAGTTTCCTTCTTTTCATGTCAGCGACCGGAGCAGTTCTCTTTTCTGTGATTCTTGCCAATGCACTTGTGATATGCAACATGTCACTTGCTCTATCTGGTATGGAAGGACACGGTGGATACTCGGCGATTCTTAAAGCTTGTATCTTGATGAGGGGAAAGACATCAATGGCTTTGTTCTTAGCACTTCCTGTTAATGTTGCCTTGGCTGCTGTTGAGGCCTTGTTTCACTTCAGGGTTGTAAGGGAATATCATATTGTTGGAAAGGCAAGGCCTTTTTTGGTTTTAGAAGGGATTTTCATTGCATACTTGTACTCAATCTTCATCATCCTTGACACTACTGTGAGCTGCTTGTTTTACAAAAGGTTGAAGACAGAATCATGGATTGTTCAAGATAAGGACAGTTATGGTTATATTGGCAACAAGAATTTTGAAGAACTACCGTAATTAGTAACATGAAGTAGCATTTTATTAGTTTCGCCAAAGCTTTTTCTTCAAGAAAAAAGAAGCTGTACTAATTGTTTTAAACAGATATATAGCAGGTATTTACCAAATTTATTCATGTTGGTCGAAGATATCCAACAACTTTGAAGGCATAAAAGTTTCGGTTGAACATCCTCGACTGAGTTATGTGCAAAGACAGGAAGCTAGAGGAAATCATATTCTGTAGTGTTTTATATAAATGTGTCTGTGTTTTATATAAATGTCTCTGATATTCTTAAATTTTGTATTTTGATTTCACAAGTTCCACTTTATAGATTGGCAAGAATTTACCGTGTGAATAAGATATACATGATTCAATGTTAACTGCCTTATTGTGTATTAGTTATTATTGTGTGTCAGTTTTTATGGTTTACTAGTGTGTTTCTAATTGTATAGAAAACCGAAGATGATTTTGCAGTCTCAGAGAAGAATATGTTGGAAATTCACCAAAAACTATGATAAATATCTATCAATCTTGATAAACAAGATTGTTATTATCACACAATAACAATGAAAAATATGAATGAAAGAAAGAGAAGACAATGATTTTATGCAGAGTTTCTCTCTGTCCACAAACTGTGGAAAACTTTCTTATTCACTTTTAACTGCAAATTCTGTGAATACAACTTGATTATAAAAAATAGGGTTACTCCCTCTATTTATAGATTTAAGTTACCCTAAGGCAAAAAACTCAAAAATATAAAAGGTCAAAATACATATTTTGGAACTAAATCAAATCTGTGTGAAACACCTATTTCGACACACCTTGTGTCGAGCAACATCCTGCTTCGACACAAGGAATTACACATTTAACACACCACCTAATTCATTGTGTCTAAGCTATCTATATTTATCATAGCTCTTACTCTTCTGAATAATTCGACCTGCACACCCTTCGTCATTATGTCTGCAATCTGATTTTCAATTCTGCAATGTTCCAAGTTCATCTTCTCATCTGCTACCTGCTCTCGAATATAGTGAAATCTCATTTCGATGTGCTTACTTCGACCATGTGATATCGGATTTTTCGCCAGATTGATAGCTAATATGTTGTCGATCTTCATGGTAATTGCTCCATGATCTTTCCCTGTGATTTCTTCGACTAAGTTCACCATCCATATTGCTTGACATGCACAAAGAGAAGCAACTATGTACTTTGCTTCGCACTATGATAATGACACAATTGGTTTCATTCTCGAACTCCAAGCAACTGGAGCACCACCTAGCATAAACACATATCTTAGTGTGGATTTTCGATCCTCAGCATCACTACTCCAACTTGAATCAATGTACCCCACTAACTTACATTCTTTTTCTTTATCAGCTGCAGGAAACTGAATGCCATAGTCGAAAGTTCCTTTCAGATACCTCTGTATCCTCTTCGTCACTGCTAGGTGTGATACATTTGCCTTCTGTGTGAATCTACTTACCATACCTACATTGTATGCTAAGTCGGGCCTTGTGTGACAAAGGTATTTTAGTGACCCAATAAGTCTTCTATATTGAGTTGGGTCGACATCATCTTCATTTGTATCTTTCGACAGTTGGAGGTTTGTTTTTGTAGGTGTCAAAGTTGAGTTGCATTCTTCCATCTCAAATATCTTGAAAATTTCTCTTGCATATCTTCTTTGATGCATCATCAAACCTCTATGCTCTTGTAGAATTTGATGCCAAAGAAATATGAAATGTCATCCAGATCAAATATTTTGAATTCCTTGCTGAGATCACCTTTGAAATCTTCGATCTCACTTTTGCAGCTACCTGTTATCAACAAATCATCGACATAGAGACATAGTATAAGCAATTCACTATTGCTTCTTCTTACATATACTCTATGTTCAGTTGTGCACTTTACAAATTCCTTCTCTCTTAGAAAGCTATCTATCTTCTTATTCCAAGTTCTTGGAGCTTGCTTCAATCTATACAGGGCTTTATGCAGCCTGCACACCTTTCTCTCTTCGCCATGCTTCACAAACTCAACTGGTTATGCAACATAAACTTCTCCGTCTAAGGGTCCATCCAGGAATGCACACTTCGTGTCCATCTGACATATGTGCCAATTATTCATTTCTATTAGACAAATAACCAACCTGATTATTTTGATTCTAGCCACATGTGCAAAAACCTCATCGGAGTCAATTCCTTCTTTTTGAAGAAATCCCTTCGCCACAAGCCTTGTCTTGTGTTGAGTTACTTCCCATTTGCAATTCAACTTCACCTTGTATACCCACTTGACATCGATTACCTTCTTTTCTTGAGGCGATCCGACAAGTGAACAAGTGTTGTTGTCTTTGATGGACTTCACTTCTTTATTCATTGCTTTCACCCACTTTGAATCTTTCAATGCTTCAATTGCATTGACAGGTTTGACATCTGCATAGAAAGCATAATGTACCAGCTCACCTTCATTATCAATCACATCATCTGCTATAATAACACAATCTTGCAACCTTGCAGGTATGTGTTTTGTTCACTGAGGTCTGCTTGGTCCTGGTTGATCTATAACTCCCTCTTGTCGAACTTCTCTTTCGACTTCTACTGTTGGTTCTTCGAATAAGATTCTTACTGAATATTTTTTGACATTTTTTCCAATCATATTTCTTAAGCTCATCTATGATCACGGCCCTGCTGATCATAATCTACTTGTTCACTAGATCGAACAACTTGTAACCTCATGTCGAATGATATTCTACTAGGATCATCTGACTCGACTTGTCATCAATTTTTCTTCTCAACTGATCTAGCACATGTCTATGTGCAATAGATCAAAATACCTTCAAATGACTCACGCTAGGCTTCACACCAGATCGACATTCTTATAGAGTAATTCCTTCTAGCTTCTTCGTCAGACATCTGTTTAAAATATATGTTGCAGTCGACACTGTTTCACCCCCAAAACTCTTTAAGTAAATGCTTTCCTTTCAACATACTTCTCACCATATTTATGATAGTTCGATTCTTCTTTTCTGCAGTTCCATTTTGCTGTGAAGTGTAGGGTGGCACAACCTTATGCATAATCCCTTCTTTCTCACATAATATATCGAAGTCTTTTGACACATACTCTCTGTAGTAGTAGAAATGTTTAAGACTAAGCCATTGGATTAACTAAACTTGGACAAATCAAAATAAAAATCGTCACCGCGCTTTATTGTTTCCAAAGGAATGGGAAAAGAGTGAATAACCCAAAAAGAGGGGGAAATATTCTAGGTAAGGGGTTGGTTATGCAAAGGGAATGTATTAGCACCCTAAACATCTATGGTACTCCGCATGAACCTCTTTGTAAAAATCTGTATATTTTGGCTATAAAATGTTGTATGTAAAATAGATGGTGGAGATGAGAGAAGAAATATATTTTTTATGATTTTTTGCACCCGCCGCGGTTGTGAACCTTTAGTGCCTACGTACCACCTTTCGTATAATAGGGGATCAGGATACACGTAATTCACCTTTGAAAAAATTTTAAAACACAAGTGTGTTGGTTAATTTTATGAAATAAGATATCATCGTCATTGTCCGTGTGGAAAAACATACTTACTACCCACAATCATGAGAAAGGAGAATTTACATCATCTCAAAGTGGAGGATATGGCTTGGATTTTAAAAATCAACAATGTCTCACTCAACACCCAAGTGGAAAATATCTCACTTCACTACATATCGTAGAAGTATAGTTGTTTGCATCACTACAAGGATTGACAAGAGTCGAATCTTTTGAGAAAAGTTTATGATGAAAGTCAAGCTGGCAAAATGGTTTGAATGAGATTGATTGATTTTTTAGTCTTCTCGAAAAAATGTCAAGGTTTTATTAATGTTGATTGAAGTTTGTTTGTGAAAGATGTTTTGAAAATGCATGGACCTAAGTCTAAGTTTATTATGAAAGTAGTTCAGTTTTTAAAAAATAAGAAGAGTTTTCAAAAGGAGGGAGAAGATCTTTTGAAATTTAAGAAGATGGGAGGAGAAGAAGAGGCTATCCTAAAGCATAAGGTAAAAGTTATGGATAAGAACCATCTAACCAACAAGAATCCAATACTTGACATTATGAGCCAAGATAGAATTCTCATTCTTTAGATTGAAACCAAGCAAGCAAATATACTAGACCTCTTGTGAGAACCAAACTTCAAGTGTATTAAGTCTTCATAAAAAATTGGCAGAGTAACGGCTGTATACGAGTGAATTCCATATTACAAACAAAGAATGTAATCACAATAACCTGCACACAAAACAAACAAACAACCCAATGTCTTGAGGTAAACCTCAAGAACTCCAGACAAAATATCAATTAAGGTCACAAGGTATCCAACGTAGGCCAAAGTTTCTAATCCTAAGTCCAAGAAGTCCAATACTCTATAATGCCAAGGATAGTAACCAAATAGTCAAAGTATCATTAAAGTTTTTTATGGTTCATGTTGATTATTAGGTGTCTTAGAAGAGAAAAGAAAAGGCCCAAGTGAGCAAAATAAAAATGACATGAAATGTAATGCTTAAAGTAAATGATACATAAAGCATAAAAAATAAAAGGGCATAAAGTAAAAACAATTTAATAGTTAGTGGTTAGTTGGATGACCATCTTGAAACTTGCATTAGGAACTTATTAGAGGATTGGTAGAACCAAAGCCTCCACACAACAAGTTTAATTTGCTTTTTGTCAAGTATATCATCCATTTGGAATCCTCAAAAGTATCATTTAATGATCAACGATGTTTAAGTGATCCGCGTTGACCAAAAGTGTTGTAGATCCATTAGATGATTGGTAGAACAAAAGCCTCCACACAATGAATCTCAAGGTTATTGGATCAAAGAGATCAAATTAACATACTTGGGCTTGCAAACATAGGTTTGGACCACGAATGATCATTTATTCGAATCGGGACAAAATTTAGCGCTATGTTAAGCAATCGTAAGTGGACTTATATACAAGTCGTGCCTATTTTGAGATCGGTCAATAGCAATCTATGCACCATTTG